GAATTCAAGTTTTAACAGTGCTCTTATAGAATACATAGTAAAGATGCAGAGGGGACAGGATGCTTTTTTTTGGAAGGGGGTTGTTTAGCAAGGCTGATGAGAATGATGAACTCACACTGAAAAGCAGATAGTAGTTCTTGGACTAAATCCTAAAGTCATTTTTTATTCAATCTCATTTCATCAAGGTCTATCAGAATCTTTATCATGAACTTCCATGTCCAAGACTAATGTTTGTTCTAATTGGGAGGATCAAATGACTAGATACATGCGCAACAGTCTGAAAACTATATTGTATTTAAACCAATTATAAAGAGAATTTAGTATATAATCAAGTTAAAGTACTTCACAAAATTAACCTCATATACTCAGTGAAATACAATTGTTTTGTTACTGGGTCATCAGGAAAGTAATGACACACTTTTACATAGAAAACTATGTCATGACTTTCTCGACAACCCAATTGCTCATTTAAGACAGTTCAACCATGTCACAGTTCTCCTGCCTCAGCCTTCCCAAACTGCTGGTATTACAAATGTATATACCATGCCTGGCCATTAGCCTGGACCAGCATCAAACCCAGGCCTCTTATATGGTCCCAGCCTGATAAATACAGCATTTCAGCACTATAGGTCATATTGCTAGACCCTAATGTTTTTATGTTTCAAATAAAAAGAAATAATTGGTTCCATAAATTATTATTCCTATTTCTTTCAGAGAGCAAAACTCAAATTGTTACCACTTTTCTCTTAATACCAAGTAAACTTCCTTCAGTATATATATTTTAACACTTACCACATACTTTCATTTCTTTTCTACTGTAGGTTTATGATCATCCCAGTCGGCAGTAAACTTTCCATCCTCTTAACTCCCATATCATTTTGTTTTATTACAGTGAAATTTATATAGTGAAGTGTACAATCTTAACAGTAAGTTTTTGTTAACATATACACCCATGTGCCCATCTCTCCAATTAAGTCACAAAGGCGTATGAAAAGTTCCCTCTGAGTCAATCATCTTCTCCCATTATCAGCTATTGTTCAGATTTCTATTATCATAGATTAGTCTGCATTTGAACTACTTATAACTAGAATTATACACTGTACCTTCTCACATGTCTGACATCGTTTTCACTCAATATGTTTTTGAGATTCACTTTGTTGAGTTTACCAGTGGCTCTTTTTTTGTTGTTGTTGCTGAGTAGAAGTATACTGCCATATAATTTGCAAATACTTTTTCAAAATTAATTATTTTATTTAACTTTATTTATTTATTTAAATTTGACCCGAGAGGGACAGAATGAGAGCAAGAGCGAGATCGAGAGCAAGAGAAAGAGAGCAAGCCTTCAGGTCTGGAACTTAAACCATGGTCAGTCATGTGGGAGTCCAGCGCCTTTAACCACCATACCACCTGCTGGCCCCACAAATACATTTTATGGCTTTTGCCTATCCACCTTGGATTGTAGGGTCTAGCAGAAGGCCTTGCACATAGCAGATGCTCAATAAATAAGTTAAGCAAATACATACAATTCCTTCTTGACACAATAGAATTACATGACCAGATTATTATAAGGTAGGTCATGTTTCTAAACTGAAGCTTTTCTTGCTGGTCTCCCCATGGTTTAGCATAAACTCCATGGGTCTCTTCCCCAAAAGGTTCTTTTTATACTTTTAATTTTTTTTTTAGATTTTTGTCATGGAGCATGTGTGCTCTCTGGAGAGAGATGGAGATAAAGAGAACGTGGGAAATCACTCCCCAAGCCACAATCCCTTCTCCATTCTTGTCTCAGGATTTGGTATGCATGCACACACAGCACGTTTTTCAAGCAGCAGGGTCCAGGCTTCAAAGTACAGAGAGGGCCAGGTGGGATCCAGTGCCTTAACCACATCACCTGCTGGGCCCCCAAGAAATTCTTAACAAAACTTATCAGCAATCCCTAGCTCCATACCTGGAAGGAACAGAAAAAGGGACAAGATGTGCCAGGCACTGATCTAAGCATTTCATATGTATTAACACATTTAATCCTTATAACCATTATGTTATAGCTACTGTTAATACTGTCATTTCTCAGGTAAGAAAATTAAGCCAGCAGGTGGCATGGTGGTCAAAGGTGCTGGATTCTCACATGGCTGACCGTGGTTCAAGTCCTGGACCTGGTTTGTTGCTTCCTCACTTTCCCCTTCTCTCTCTCTGTCCCTCTCTGATCAAATTTTAAAAATTGTAACTACAAATGGAATTAAATAAATAATTCTTTAAAAAAAAAAAGAAAATTAAGGCAAAGAAAATAAACAACTTGCTATATAGCTAGAACACGGTAGATCTTACAGCCAGAATCTGTACTCAAGAAGCCTAGCTACAGTGCTTATACCATTAGCCCTTAATATCCTGCACATAGGTAACTGAAACTTTCTACCATGAAAATGTGGATAGCTGGGGATAACAAGCAATGTGAATATACAGTTAATGTGTAAAGTGACAAGATCCCAATTAAATATGCTGCCATGTGGTACTGTTATGATTTGGATGATGGTTTATCCCCCAAAGTTTCATGATCTGGAATCTGTCCTAGCGGGCAGTGGTGACTAAATCATGATTTGGCCATGGAGACACTGGACTTATGAATGGATTAATGTCTCCATGACAATTCTAACTCTCCTGAGGAGTTAGTTTTTGCAAGAGCAGGTTATTAAAAAAGTTGTACACAACTTCCACTCCCTCTGCATACACCTGCCATCTGTCTGCTCCTGTTAGCCATGTTGTACATCTTTGGACTTTATGGCCCCTAAAACTGTGAGTTAAACTTCTATTCATAAATCTCCCAGTCTCAGTCTTTGAATCTAGAAACAAAAGGAAAACAAGTCCCATTTAGGAATTCTAAGTCCTCTTATCTTCCTAACTTTAGGAACCCTCACCTGGGGAATCTGTTCTTCAGAAGTTGTAGTTTCTTTTTTAATCCAAACTGTTCCATTAAAGCATAAATATCTAGTTGAATAAAAGTAGTTTCATCAACAGAGCCCAAACAAAAAGCTGTACACTAGTATGACATAGAGGCGGATCCACCTGAGGTTTAACAATGAAAATGGGTGGTACCATATGAATTCCTTCAGCGACCTTGGACAAATGACCTCACCACTCTAATTTTCAGCTTCCTCAAATATAAAACAAAAGAATTTAATAAGATAATCTGTAAGATCTATCCAATTCTAAAATTCTATGATTCTTCTTTTACCAAAAGATCATTCCAAATTCACCTTAAAAACTACCAAACTAATCCTCTAATCACCCCTGTCTTTATATTACTCCCTTAGTGTAAGAATCCAAAATGACTCACTAAGGCCTCTTACATAATCTTTTATATCTTGTTCTTTTTCTTTTTCTCTTGTTCTTTTTCAAGATATCCATAAAAAGCTCCCACTTACCCACCTACCAACCTACCTATCCTTATTTGTAACTATTGTTCATTACAGTTCAGTTCAAGCTGGTCTCCCACTGTCTCTTTCTTCTATTTCTCACTCTTTTTTTTTTTTCAAGTTTATTACAGGCACCTGCACTGGCAAAAGAGAGAGAAAGAGACAGCGAGAGAGAGAAAGAGAGCGAGACACCCTCCCCCCCCCAAAGCCACACGCAGTCCCTTCTATGCTCTCCTCTCAGGTTTTTGGGCACGTAGTCACACCTGTCCAGTGTGATTTTAAAGAGCAGGGGCCAGAAATCCTCTAATCACCCCTGTCTTTATATTACTCCCTTAGTGTAAGAATCCAAAATGACTCACTAAGGACTCTTACATAATCTTTTATATCTTGTTCTTTTTCTTTTTCTCTTGTTCTTTTTCAAGATATCCATAAAAAGCTCCCACTTACCCACCTACCAACCTACCTATCCTTATTTGTAACTATTGTTCATTACAGTTCAGTTCAAGCTGGTCTCCCACTGTCTCTTTCTTCTATTTCTCACTCTTTTTTTTTTTCAAGTTTATTACAGGCACCTGCACTGGCAAAAGAGAGAGAAAGAGACAGCGAGAGAGAGAAAGAGAGCGAGACACCCTCCCCCCCCCAAAGCCACACGCAGTCCCTTCTATGCTCTCCTCTCAGGTTTTTGGGCACGTAGTCACACCTGTCCAGTGTGATTTTAAAGAGCAGGGGCCAGAACTGGAACCGCACAGACAGCCCTGTGGAATCCAGTGGCCTTAACCAGCATGCCTCCTGGCTGGCCCCCCTCTGTCTCTTTAGCATGACACAATTTCCGTCTTTTGAGTTTTTGCTTTATTACCTCTTACTATAGATTCAGAAATACCAAGTTCTCCCTGCTAGGGCTGAATCCAAGACTGCCCTTCTCCAAGGAAGCCTTACTGAATTCTGTTATTTTTTCCTTTTATCAATCAACACAAGTGAACTAAATTTTTACAAGATGCGAGATTTTCAAAAAAGAGCCACAAATCCTAGGTAAATGGTGACGCTAGCCGATGCTAACCATGTAGTCCGGACCCGGTTCTCTGAGAGCTTCCCTGGAACTTCACCTTGGTCAAGAACCATGCATTAGCAGATTCCTGTAAACCACCCCCCACAAGCCTCTGGCAGAGCGCGGGTCACAGCAGTGGCTCCCTACAACATGCCCAGTTGGCTCTCAGCACGCAGCGGGGTCAGCAGGGCAGGCGCTGGCTGCCGGGCCCCAGCGGTCCAAGGCTCCAGGTGCGTGAGGTCATCCAGGTGACGCAGGGGCCCACGCACTGCCGAGACCCGGCCACCTCTCCCAGGAGGGCGTCTCCTGGGCCGGCTTCCTCTGCCAGCAGCTTCCCGGCCTCTGGACTTCCAGGCCCCAGCCATGGCCGCTGCTATGGCTCTATCGCTGACCCTCCCGCCCCCTCAGACCCTGCGCTGGCTTCTTAGCCAACCTGACAGGTCCCGCTGTCGCCGGGCCGCTCTGGGGCGGGGTCCGGCCGCAGGCGCGCGGCAGAGGGGACGGATGCAGCCTGAGGGGCGTCGCGCGCGGGGCATCGCGCCACTCACCCGGCGCCACACACCAGAACCGGGGCTGCCCTGCGCGAGACGAGGAGCGACGGAGACGAGAGCAGGGATGTGGTCGGACAGTGGCGGCGCCGGCACTTCCTGCCTGGAGAGGCGGAGCGGAAGGCGCACCGGAAGGCGCGGCGGGCCCAACTGGGAGCGGGGGTGCGGCCTGCGTGCTCCCCGAGGAGGGCGCGGAGTCCGGGGGTCGGCGAGGAGCCAGGCCGCCTGGTCTGAGCGC